AGGAAGATGGATCGCAACTGTTGCCTCAGCAATAATGGTAAAATCGTGTCCTGTAGTTGAACTTTGCTCATTATAATATCACTATAATACCAAAACACACCTCCATGTCAAAAGCTACCCGCCTCTGGGCTGCGGCCACCCCTCGCTGAGCAGGCACCCTGAATTTCTTCTAGCCTATACTTTTAAATTGAAGCGAGAAAAATTTACACCAATCCTAATAAAGGTATGTATGACTAAAGTCATTCAAGCTCCACCTGAAAGTAAAGAAATAGTATAAAATGGCAAAAGAGAAGGGGGATGTTAGGGGAGAAGCCCCCCATCAAAACATCTAGGGTCAGTTGACGGGCTGGATCTCTCTTCTCCCCCCCATAGGGACATCTATTGAGTAAGAGCTCTGTGTTATGCACATTTACTTACTAACATCTTGCTAGCTAGTTAGTATTATTACTGATCAGTTCTAGTTCTGTATTATTCCAAATCAAATTTGTTTTCACAGTCAGTCTCTATAAATGGCTATCTTCGAATCTGTATCCTGTCACGAATATATGTAATAAAACTTGCTATATATGAATACAAGTTTCCAGAAACTTCAATAATTGACACAGAGGATATAAGGGATTTGTGCCAGTGCCGCTGCCTGTGAGGCTCCCTGTTTGGGAAAGGGGCAGACTGGCCAAATTGAGAAAGGCTCAAGGTAGCCCCCCCCCTGTCCTCTGTCGACACTGTCGTGGGTTAGGCCGCTCTGGCAACTAAACCCTACACAGTCCCTCTCACCCTCCCCCATCCCCAGGGATGAGGGAGAGAATCAAAGAGGAAAAAGAAAAGAGACCCGTGGGTTGAGATAAGAACAATTTACTACTACCGCTACCAATATATATATATACAGATATGTACAAGGATAAACATATACAAACGAGTGATGTAAGGTGTAATTGTTCACCACCCCTTGACCGAGGCCCGTCTCATTCCAAAGCTGCAATCCCAAAACGGATAAAAGTCGATACCACAATCCCAGATGAATGGGAGGCCCCGAGACAGAGAGCAAGAGAGAGAGAGAAAGCACTCTGAGAGCCCGAAAGTGAGAGCCCCGGAAGGGTCAAAAGCCCTTCTTTCTGGCTGACCCTCATTTTTATACTGGGCATGACGCTGCATGATATGGAATACTAATTGGCCAGTTTGGCCCTCAATCTTAAGTTCAAGTACAAATCGTAAGGAGAGTCGTAGACCCCTTGTCCCGGCCATGCTCCCCCCTTATCCTGTTGTGCTCCTGCACACTGGCAAGAACACGGCAGCTGAAAAGTCCTTGAGACCTCAGTGCCAACTGCAAACATCAGTGCGCTGTCAACATTCTTCTCAGAGCCAGCCTCTGAGTAAAACCAAAACACGGAGCTCTTTTAGCTGCTAAAAAGAAGAGCTAACTGTCCCAGCTAAAACCAGGACAGACACAATATCGTGGCTTAACGTGACAGACTTGTTCTCTACATCAATATTGTGTAAAAAACCAAAGAATTTCTTTTTCATCTTCCTTACATGTAAAAAGCTCAAGAATCTATATTTAAGTCCAAATGTGCTACAAAAAACCTTATGTTTTTACTATGTGAATGTTTAAACATAGCAATACATTTAAACAATTATGTTCTTACACTTAATCAAACAATTGATTTTTTAAAACCAAATGAGTCATGTTTTCATGACTGTTCAATCAATATTCCCAGCAATTTCAAGGAAAATATAGTTCAGTCCTCTTCAATGGATATTATTGAGATACTGAAGGAATAACATGATTTCAATGTCTCAGTGGGCTTCAGCCAAATGCGAAAGACAGCTTAAGCCCAAATGTCACGGAATTCCAAAAGGACCGCAGAGTTTCACAAAGAACTACTTCAGCTCCCGATTATATTTACAAAACACAATACTTGGCATTACGATGTCTACAAAACAAACCCCTTGATATCATTTTCAGTCACAGATCTCAGTTGCATTAGCCTTTTACATTTCCAGATATATGTGATTTTACAGTTACAGTCCCCAGCTTTTTAAAGTCAGGAAGATTCTTTCCGCTATGATGTTATCTGCCAGTAGTCTATTTCAGGCACCTGCATAACTGAACACACTCAGAAAGTTACCAGTGTGTTAACAGCCCTCCTAGAGTGATAACTAAAATCAGAATGTAGCTCCACAATATTCTTTTTCGTCTTTGTGCATATATTGCTTTTGAAATGGATTCTTCTGAAGTCTAACAGCTTAATTGTTTCTTCTATTTGAAATATTTCATTCCAGCTAAACCTTCATTGACAATTCTGATGTGAGTACTAGGAGGCTGTTTTGAGAGAAAATATACCAACAGTCAGTTTCATGCTTTTAATACCTAAATAAATCAAAGAAACTCTGAAGAAGATTATCTTGAACACACATAAAGAAGGTTGTGTTCTGCAAAAACCTACATTATAAGTAGGGCACTCATTAAAATCTTCTGCTATAAATAGTAGGATTTGTTTTCCCAGAATCCAGACTTAGGAGCCTGAGTTTTTGTAATTTTTTAAGAAAGGGTTGAATAAGCAACAACTACTGAACTCTAAAGGGAACAAGTCAAGTAGCTGTATGCAACAATGCCCTGCAATTCAGCGATGGCAGAAAGTCATGATTTTAAATTAGTTATACTGCATATAAGTGGTGTAAAAGGCATCAAAGCAGTTAATGGATTAATGCAGTACATAATAAAAATATTCAATCCCTGTAGCATACAGTTACTGATCTGGAAAACACAGCAATGAAAAATACCTGTGTTTAGTGATAGAAACTTAAGTTCTTTATGTTACCTTCAAAAGAAAAATTAAAAACTCTTCCCGTGTAACACTTTGTCATATCCTCAAGTTTGGAGCAGTTCTGCAGGAAGTAACCTAACCATTATATCAAATATAAAACATGTACTGTCAGTAAACTGCAAAATGAGAATTAAAATAAAAATCAGTCTGTCAGACACACAGCAGTTCCAACACCAAGATGTGCATAATGAACTTTCTATCAGTGGTAGTTATTACAATATAGCCATGTTATAGTAACTATAACCATGGCTACTCATCAAATATGCCATGATTTTGCTCCAGAATCTCAGAATCACTTATATAACACCCCATCCATAACAGAGGTCCTGTTTGTGACCTTTCCTAGTTTTAAGTTGATTTTGTATAAAATTTGCCAGTTTCTATGAAATATGTGATAGAAAAATGTTATAGGTTTTGCATGGCACAAACCCAGAAGGGATTCTTACAATTGAGTTCTTATTAAAAAAAAAAACAAAACATTCGTTTCTACACAAATAATATTCTGCCCAAATATCAAGAAATTAGAGAATATAATTTCCTTTATACTTTCTTTCTGGTTCCAGATACCTTCAGGGATTCAAGTGTCTGGAAGGAAAGACCTACACATCTATTGGATACCTTTTCCTCACTATCTCCACAGAAGTTAACAAAAGATTCTGTTCTGCATGTGATATGTAACAAGGCTGATAACATCACACACACATACCTACTGTACCTTCCAGGTGCCACAGAATCCTAGAGGAGTTTTGGGGTTTATGCCAGTGCAAGACACCCAGTCAGCTTTCTTTTCATGTCACATTAATAAAGTTCAAAAGATCTATAAATTGCAGGAGGAAATAAGGAGGTAACGTAGCTACAAAATAGCTACGGCCTTCACTGGAATCCATGGATTAGTTCTGGAAATACCAACTGATTCCATGAAGACTGTAAGCCCACAGTCACAAACACTGATTTCATTCAAACACAATAAACTGATTGACCCAACGTGACACCCAAGTGACCAAGCCCATTAGCTCTTATTTCTTGTAAAAACAAATACATGCATTAAACTTAAAACTACTGAAAAAAGAATGTATTAATTCACAATTATTTAAGCATAACAAAAACCTTTTTTACCATAAACATGGTCAAGCACTGGAACAGGTTGCCCAGAGACATTGTAGAGTCTCCATCTTCAGAGAGAGTCGAAACTCAACTGAACAGTGCTCAGAGCAAACTGCTCTAGCTGACCGTTTTGATGAAGGGGTTGGACGAGATATCTCCAGTAGTCCCTTCCAACCTCAACTATTCTGTGATTCTATGAAGACTGTAGTAAGGAAGCAACAGAAATATAACAGAAACAGAGTAGAGCACCAAGTCTTTTTCTGATTTTTAGATTAAGGTACCATCTGAAACAAATAATTTGTCATAGAATTCATAAATGTAAGAAGGCTGAGCTATCCTGAGATTGTGTATTTCCTGTGCTTTGATCCCACATAAAGCTCTAAATAACAAAAACTAGGGAAAAATAATGAAATCCATTATTACCTTTTAAGCAACTTACATTGAAGCTTTTAAAAATGGCAGAAGAGACTATTAATTAACTTTCTTAAACAATTTCCCTCCTTTCACAACCAGTAATTTTAGGAAAAGGAGGAAGCACTGAGCATACAGCCTCCTAGAGCACAACTTAACATATAATGCAGTCTATTGGAAAATTACAATCAAATCCTCTGGAGATGTTATGAATCTACACTGCATAAGCTATTTGTAGCTAGTAAGTCTCAAATAAAATCCACCGAAGTCAGAACTGTGATACAGCTGAGAAAAAGAAGCATCAGATGAAAGCCAGTGAAGCAGATTCTGCTCCTTGTACATGAATACATTCTCCAAGTAGAACCTGCAAGTGATTTATTTAGGAAATCAAATTAATTACTTTAAGGACCTGAAGTGTTTGATATTTCATGGGATTTAAATGCAGCTGGAAGTTTATTCATACACATACAGGGTCTTCATTACACTCACACCTGAAAGTGGCAAGTTAAACCCTACAAATCTTCATATAGCTGCTGGATATTTATGGTTCAAACACAAGGAGTAGATTCGAATCAATCTATTCTTGATAGGGTATCACACTTTTTTGATTAACCTATAATAAGAAAGTATCAGAAAATACACATAATTTTTTGCAGTTACCCAGCAGTTCCATTGCATCATCTTCATTGTCAATATCTTCTTCAGTAACAGATGGAGCTGTGCTTTGAGCAGAATCAAAGGAGTCCTGAGAAAGCATGGCAGCCAGCAGTTTCTTATGTTGCTGCTGTTGTTGTTTTAGTCCTTTGGTCTTTGGCTCCATTTTTAAGCTGTGAGGGAGGAAAGCACAACTTTCTCTTACTCTCTACGAAATATTTCACGCCTTTAGCAAATTACTGTAGCCCGTGATATTGTCCAGATCTGAAGGTTAACACCATCAGATCACACATAAACCAGCTGGTTATCACTTATTCTCTGACCACTGGATGTTGTAAGTCAGTTTGTGCTTTCAGCTCCTGTCTAATGTTTTGATTGAATGATGACAGGAAATGTCCCATTGACTTTATGGGCATTAATCAAGTCTAAATAAGCTACATTTACAGAACAACAGAATGTCAATTACTAATTGGTATTGCTAAGGCTTTGCTCGCACAGCAAAATGAGAACAAAGAACTGCTCCCTTGAGTGCTTATGTTACCACAACCCCATAGAATTAAAGACTAAACAGTTATAACAATTCTCATGGTTTGTTGACTTTTGTCCATAACTGAAGTAATAGACAACTGGAACTGCACAGAAGCTAGCAGAAAGGTCTAAGGCAGGACTCCCCACCGTTAGCAATTTCTGATTCCTTACAATATCAGGATAAAGACAACGGAATAGAGGTCTGGTGCCCCACATGAGGGTATCAGCAACACATCAGGCTGCCTTATAGCCTGTTGCAGGAAGGCAGATCTGTTGAAAATGTATGAAATTTAGGATAATCAATGATAGTTCATTTCCCACGGCAAGGATGAGCACTAATAAGACAAAGTAGACTATGGACATGAAGAATAGGCTTCGAGTTTAGGACATCAGGTTATGGATGGGCCTCTACAAGCTCTAGTTCATTTTGGGCTCTAAGAAACAAGAGCATCATATTAAAAATCACTCAATTTCCCCACTGCGTGCATACATTATCCCTTGAAATTTCCCAAGACCCTTGCTTCTTCTCAGAATATCTCCAGGAAATTTTTCATGTAGAAAACTACTAACAATGACTTGGAAATTAGTTTAATCCTGCTTTCACCGCGTTTGAGATTCTGAAAGATGAGCTCAGTACCAGCAGGATTGGCATCAGCACTTTTATACGGTTGTATTAGGTTTGTGTGGCAAAGTTTTGGAAGGGGAGCTACAGGGGTGACTTCTGTGAGAAGCTGCTAGAAGATTCCCCTATGTACCATAGAGCCAATGTCAGCCAGCTCCAAGAAGGACTCACTGCTGGCCAAGGCCGAGCCCATCTGTGACAGTGGTAGCACCTCTGTAATAACGTAGTTAAGAAGAGGGAAAAAAAAATCTGTGTGTAATTGAAGCTGGGAGAGAGGAGTGAGACTATATGAGAAATAACTCTGCAAACACCAAGGTCAATGAAGAAGAAGGAGGAGGTGCTCCAGACAGAAAAAGCAGAAAACTCAGATTCTCAAATATCACACACTATGTATACTCACTCCAATTTCCTCTATGATGAAAGACCATTATTGAAAACAGGCGTGTGATAAACAGGCCAGTGGTCCACAGGAACATGCTGTTCTCTGCAGCCTATTCTGTCCCCTATAGAATGCTAGGAATATGGAAGGACCCAGGCCTTTCCCTTCCACCAAACAGAAAAACACTTGTACTCCGTAGTCTCTAAAAACAACACAGAGAGAGCGAGTCCCATGACGCTGATGGCAATTGCTCTACCAGCGATCTGTCAAAGCCTAACCCTCTGGATATTTATAGAGTATTTAATTTATGTAGCTTTTCATTATGTTTATTGATAGATAAAAGAAAACATATTACCTGGAAATAACGGGACAATTACAGTTTTTGCTTTCCTGTTCTGACGCTGTAACTGAAGATAAGGGTTACTTTTGAGAGTTTGATGATTTATCACATAAATCCTGATAATTAGTGATCAATAAACTATCACTTTTTATTAAAAGCGTTGCTAAATCAAATTTAGCAAGATGTAATTGGGAACATTTGTTACAAATTTCAAATTGCTCCCTCTTTCTGTTGCCAGGTAAAATTGTAACTGCATTATTTCAGGCCATATTAATTATGAACTAGATGAATGAAATACAGATGAGGTAGTCAAAAACTCTTTAGAACTGATAACAGCTTCACTCTTTCGATAGTTTTATTTAATCTTCTAAAACCATACTATTCTCACTACTTTTGCATGTTCTAGGCATAGAATTATAGAATCATAGAATGGTTAGGGTTGGAAGGGACCTCAAAGATCATCTAGTTCCAACCCCCCTGCCATGGACAGGGAAAACCTCCACTACACCAGGTTGCCCAAAGACTCATCCAACTTGGCCTTGAACACATCCAGGGATGGGGCATCTACAACTTCTCTGGGCAACATGTTCTAGTGCCTCACCACCCTCAGAGTGAAAAATTTCTTCCTTATATCTAATCAAAATCTGCCCTCTTTCAGTTTAAATCCATTGTCCCTTGTCCTATCACTACACGCCCTTGTAAAAAGTCCCTCTCCACCTTTCCTGTATGCCCCCTTTAAGTACTGGAAGGCTGCAATAAGATCACCCTGGAGCCTTCTCTTCTCCAGGCTGAACAGCCCCAACTCTCTCAGCCTGTCTTCATAGCAGAGGTGCTCCAGCCCTCGGATCATCTTTGTGGCCCTCCTCTGGACCCGCTCCAACAGCTCCATGTCCTCCTTGTGTTGGGGTCTCCAGAGCTGAACGCAGTATTCCAGGTGGGGTCTCACAAGAGCAGAGTAGAGGGGCAGAATCACCTCCCTCGACCTGCTGGCCACGCTCCTTTTGATACAGCCCAGGATACAGTTGGCTTTCTGGGCTGCCAGCGCACATTGTCGGCTCATGTTGAGCTTCTCATCCACCAACACTCCCAAGTCCTTTTCCTCAGGGCTGCTCTCAATCCATTCCCCGCTCAGCCTGTACTTGTGCTTGGGATTGCCCCAACCCATGTGCAGGACCTTGCACTTGGCCTTGTTGAACTTCATAAGGTTCTCACAGGCCCACCTCTCCAGCCTGTCAAGGTCCCTCTGGATGGCTACATTGTACTGGATATGCTACACTATATCTAAATTATTATTATATGTTACTTATCTCATGCAAATTCTGTTCACAGTACTTTAATTCCCAGTAACACTGAATCAAACCTTGAAGAAATTGTCTGTTATTAGTTAACTATTATGAAACATTCACATTAACTTTGATCAATATGGGTCTTTTGAACTTCCATATATAGGTGGCGTCAATTTTAGTATCACCACTATCTTGAAGTTCGGTAATTTTACGATTATTTTGCAAGACTGCAAACATGCTTTTTAGAAATGCCTTACAAAAGCTGATGAAATGCTAATGAAGCAAAGAATTATCCTAGACATAAAATCAGTCATCCAAATGTAAATCCATATGCTCCATGTAATTTAGTAGTTATTCATTTCCACTGAAAATCAGTACTCCCACTTAACGATACATATTTTTCAACTTAATGCACCTAAAAACTAGAGATATCAGTGTCCCATAAGTCTTTCCTGGCATCAAGTACCGCATATTCTCCTTATTTCGTATGTCAGGCAACGTGATTTTGTCATGACACTCAACAAGACTTCTCAAATACTACTCTCAAAGCCATTAATCACATTTTTTAATTATAGCATTAGCTGTGAGGTTTCTCACAGCTTGTACCACCCTCTGCAAAGAGAAAAATGTGCTGCTTTGAATCATCTTTGTTACTCAGAACTAAACCTCTTTGCTCCCTTCTGGAGATCAGAGATGCTTATTTATGCTCCTTCCTATTGAGAGAAGGGATACAATATCCTCAATTTGCTCTGAAACGTGGAACAGATCTTTATTCAGTGCCTTTACTGGACTACTGAATAAGGAAAAAGAAACCCAGGCCCTCACAATCAAGCTGCAGTGCCAGTTCCAGACTCCATTAGTTTCCCAGGAACTGCACTGCAGAGACCCGGTGTCTGAATTCTGTTGGTTCCAGTCCAATGTCTGGCTGAGGGATCATTACTATGCACTGCTACTTCTTTGAAGTAGTAGTACTTGCAGCTTCCCCCACAATAATCTAATTAAAAGAAGAAAGAAGTGCTCATGGATAACAAACATTCCCAATGTGAGGCAAGTTAATGAATACAGTCTGTAAGAGTACAGCAAGTGACAGACTAGTTTCCCTGCGACAGGGAGATGAATTCCCATGTAGAAGGCACAGGGAGGATATAGTAAATGAATATTCACAATTTAAATTGGGGGACGAGAGGCTGGAGAGCGACTTCACAGAAAGAGACCTGGGGGTTTGAGTTGATGGCAAGTTGAATATGAGTTAACAGTGTCCCCTGGCAGCCAAAAGGACCACCTGTGTCCTGGGGAGCATCAAGCACAGCATAGCTAGCCAGTCGAGGGAGGTGGTTGTCCCACTCTGCCCTGCACTGGTGAGGTCCCACCTCAAGTAATGTGTGCAGTTTTGGGCGCCTCAATACAAGCAGGACACCAAACTATCAGAATGTGTCCAGAGGAGGACGACCAAGACGGTGAAAGGCCTTGAGGGCAAGACTTACGAGGAGTGGCTGAGGTCACTCAAGTTTTTCAGCTGGGAGAAGAGAAGACTGAGGGATAACCTCAGTCTACGACTTCCTCAAAGTGGGCAGCAGAGAGGGAGGAGGTGCTGATCTCCTCTCTCTGGTGACCAGCAATAGGATACAAGGAAAAGGCATGAAGATGCAACAGGGGACGATCAGATTGGACGTTAGGAAAAGGTTCTTCTCTGAGAAGGTGATTGGTCACTGGAACAGGCTCACCAGGGAAGTGGTCACACCATCAAGCCTGTTAAGAGTTCAAGGAGCGTCTGGACAACACTCTTAGTCATATGGTTTAGTTTTAGGTGGTCCTGCAAGGAGCAGAGAGTTGGATTTGATGATCCTTCTGACTTGAGATACTTTATGAGTCTTTGACAGTACCTTAGACCTTTTCAAAGGGAAAGCAGAGAGCTTCTGCCTTCTTAAAAGAGGAAGAAAAACGTGTTTGCTACAGAGTACTAGTTATAACCAAGACGAAAAGCTAAAGGACTGAGGGAGAGCTGTAGGTGTTTAAGGCAATTAAAAGAGGCAGTGAACAAGCTTTACACTTAAAAAAAAAAAAAAAAAAGCATGAATTCCTTTTAAAGAAAAGCTGTGAACACTTTCTTCGATAAACACATATCTTTAAATCATGGAAAATAGACTCCTTGGAAAAATGATAATCTCTTCAATGTAGCTGAAGCACATTAACAAACATACTCTCCCACCCTCAGTCAAGATGTATTGGATTTGCGTGGCAAGGTTTTGGTAGCAGGTGGGCTACAGGGGTGGCTTCTATGAGAAGCTGCTGGAAGCATCCCCTGTGTCTGATAGAGGCAATGTCAGTCACCTCCAAGATGAAACCTACTGCTGGCCAAAGCCGATCCCATCAGCAACGGTGGTAGCACCTCTAGGATAATATAGTTAAGAAGGGGAAAAACCTGCTGCACAACAGCAATTACAGTTGGAGAGAAGAGTGAGAACATGTGAGAGAAACAGCTCTGCAGACACCAAAGTCAGTGAAGCAGGATGAGGAGGAGGTGCTCCAGGCACTGCAGCAGAGATTCTCCTGCAACCCATGGTGAGGGTCATGGTAAGGCAGGCTGTGCCCCTGCACCCCATGGAGGTCCACAGTGGACCAGAGATCCACCTGCAGCCCATGGAGGACCCCACACCAGAGCAGGTGGATGCCCAAAAGAGGCTGTGACCCTGTGGGACACCCACGCTTGGGCAGGCTCCTGGAAGGACCTGTGGATCCGTGGAGAGGAGACCACACTGGAGAAGGTTTGCTGGAAGGACTTGTGACCCCATAGGGGGTCCCATGCTGGAGCAGTCTGTTCCTGAAGGACTGCACTCCACGGGAGGGACCCATGCTAGAGTGGTCCATGAAGAACTGCAGCCCATGGGAAGGACTCACATTGGAGAAGTTTGTGGAGGACTGTCTCTTGTGGGAGGGACCCCACACTGGACCAGGGGAAGGGTGTGAGGAGTCCTCTCTCTGAGGAGGAAGGAACGGCAGAGACAAAGTCTGATGAACTGACCTCAACCTCCATTCCTCATTCCCCTGTGCCACTGGGGCAGAGGAAGTAGAGCAAATCAGAAGCAAAATTAAACCCGGGAAGAAGGGAGGGGTGGAGGAAAGGTGTTTTATGATTTGGTTTTATTTCTCATTAATCTGTTCTGTTTTGATAGGTAATAAATTAAACTAATTTCCCCAAGTCAAGTCTGGTTTGTCTGTGACAGTAATTAGTGAATTAATCTCCTTGTCCTAATCTTGACCCACAAGTCCTTTGCTATGTTTTCTCTCCCCTGTCCAGCTGAGGAGGGGAGTGACAGAGTGGCTTTGGTGGGCACTTGGCATCCAGCCAGGGTCAATCCACCACGCAAGTGCCATAAATCATCAGAAGTTATTTACTGCAGAGAATACAATTTTCTATTTGAGTCATTGACACTAAGATACTAACCATAAGAACTGAAAATGAATTTAGGAAACCCTGTTAAAAAAAAAAAAAAAAAGATACTGCTTGCCTTGTCTACCTGTTATTTAAATGAGAAAATCAGATTTATCACTGCAGTGCCAAGAAGATTAACATACATCTATCACCAACCACTGAAAGACAGAAGGGTTTGAGGTATCTGAATGAAGCTATACATTACAAAATTATTAGACAATGGGCCTCAATCTTGTCAACATACACTTAGCTTTATACATGGGAATAAAACCATGGGATTGCATACGAGTATATAGTTAATCATATTTAAAAGCGTGAGAAGAAACCAGTCACATATTAGTATTTGCATTTATTCTGCATGCTGCCACACTATGGTGTAGGAATTTAAAAGCCCTGCACTCTGCTCTCCGCAATGGGGCATTACAAAGACAGCTCCACTTCACAAATTATCAAATTTTTAGGCAGAATCAAAATCACACCTTCCTCCAGGGCTGCTGCTATCCTCGCTGTCCCACTGCTCATTTTTATTTCTTGGTATTGGAGGCTGCAGCATCTCAGCAGCCAGTGGGTCTGCATCATTTTCTTCACGGCCAATCCATTCTCCAATCACACGAGGTCTGAGAAGGGGAGTGTTAAAACCTGTTGTGTCCTGAACAAAAATAAAAAAAGTACAGAAACACTGCACTGCTTGTTCTCAACCATACACGTCAACAGGAAAAGAAAAGAAGAAATTAAAAAAAATCCTATTCATTAAAAAAGTACAAAAACAGTACAGTACATTATAATTTTAGAAGGCTACAAAATATCCAGAAACAATCATAGACTAAATGATAATATTCCCATTAATAAAATTGTAAGAGAGATTTGTCCACCCTGATACCTCAAATCTCTCCTATTTCTTACTTTTCAACTGCAACTGTAGAAATCTGTGATATCATCTTAAAAAATTGTAATTTTTTTTAATAAAAGCATGACTCTTTTATAACCAGCACTGTGTCAGTTCTGCTAAGCAACAGATGAGGTCACCCATATAATGAACACCCCAGTCAAAAGACTTGTATATTAATAGCATCACACTTATTTGCATTATGAATTAATGCAAAACTAATAAATACATCTGCATTTGCCATTTTAAAAATAACTCTGCTAGGATTTACATAATGTGTCTTTCAATTCTGAAAATGGTATTAACATTCTAATAAAATGGATTTCTGAAACTAGTACACATATTTTTAACCACTTACTAGAAGAAGATAGGTGGAGAGAATTACAAGAAGTAAGCAAAATGCGACTGGAATATTCAAAACAATAGTGATGATTTGCATCGTTATATTAGGAGTTTAGATAAAAGGAACAAATTGTCCTTAAAAATTGTATGAAAAAGCTGTTCTGAAGTGGTGAGTACCTCTGTTCTCAATGTTGCTAGAACAGTTGCAGATAAAGGGTCATGTACAACAGCATAATCAAACTAAAAAACAAGCGTGTATGCAAAAAAAAAGATATGAAATGATGAGACAGGAATATTTGTTTTGTTTTAATTAAACCCTTTTCTAGGCTAGCAAAGATATTTGAAATGCAGTGTTCCTAATTAGGAGAGACATACTCTATTTCTACCCTTTAACGAGAGAAAATTTTAGGAAAACAAATCCTTGGCTGTTACCTAGCTCAGTTTCTCAATAAATATTCTTGTCATAAAACAATGCCTTCCAAACAAAAAGCATCTGGAAAACGTACAGCAGAGTGATTACTTAGCAACCATATTTTCTCATCTTCCTAAATACAAACCATTTAAAAAGTTTCTTCCTAATTGGCACAGATACGGCAAAAGCACAGTTTGAAGTAGAGGCCTCTATTGAAATGAAACAAACAAGCAAACAAATCTGCAAACTGTTTTCATATTAATATATGTACCCTATTCTAGCCAGACACTGTAATTTTGCTCAGCAGAACTCCAAGAGCTTCCATTTTGACAGAGCAGAATATGACCCAGGACCTGGATCAGAATCATTCACCCTTGTTCTTTTGTTTTGTGCAATGTGCCTGTGAGGGCATTGCTGCACTCCACTCTCCACACTGTCAAGAGTTCTCCATCAGTTGTCTAATGCACTTTTTACACAATGTCTGTTTTCTGCAAGGTCCATGTGACACCGTAGTACCACTGAAAATGGAATGCACGCAATACAGAAGAAAGAAATTTGAGGAAAACATCACAGCTTCAAAGGTTTTAGAATACCTAACCACTGGTGTCTTTTATGTATTTGCAAACATACATTTTGTGTCTGGTGCTGTGTCATAGTCACATAATGTAGACTAGATGACAGTCGCCTTTGCTCACTTGACAGACATAACCTGTCACAGGTGTGACTACCACCATATGCCTATGAGCTAGGAAAAAAGATTATTCCACTGCCCAAAATGCGTTCATTACACAAGGTACCTGCAGTAGTTTCTTTAAGGAAGAACCATTTGGTTCCTTCTGAGGTTTATTCCTGCTACTTTAGCCATTTTCTTCCTTCCCTTTCTCCCTAGGATAGTTTCTAATAACTAATAAAAAAAGGGTTCCTGGAGCTAGTTAAACTTGCAACAACTTTGAGTGTCAATCTTGCTAAAAGCTTCAAGTCCCTTAAGTGAAAACAAAAAGCAACAAAAACCTGCCCTTTTTTTTCAGTACCACAAGCTTTTCCTGATAGTTTTCATTGCACCATCAGCATATGAATAAGTAAACCATGAATGCTGTGTCTCTCCTTGTTATGCTGATTTCTTTTCTAGATATTTTAGAGATTAAAGAAGCACTTCCATACTTACTTAATAGAAATCTAATTTACATTTCATAGTCATGCCTTGCCTCACTTCATCACCTTGTTTTCCTTTTTGAGTCTTGTTAGATTAGTACGACACAGTTCCAGTGACCTAATTTATGTTCCTCCTATAAGCAGCCATAGTGAAAACAGTAAATGGAGAATCAGAGACAGCTCTACTGAGAACATCAGGATGTTTATTGGGCACCTTATTTCCAAAGTTTTAATAAATTTACATGAAGCATTCTGTTCTCAAACAAGTTTTTAGAAGTTTTATTTTTTTATATAAACCTTAGAATCTTAACTATTTCCAATTTATATTCCCTCATAAATAACAGAAGAGATTGACAGTGACATGAGTGCACAAATGCATATTTTCAGGGCAGGTAGGTATTTAAATCTGCACTAAATGAATCTAGAGGATTATTTTATGGTGTAGTCCAGGTGTCATTCACTTTTTATGCACATCAGTGGCTGCTAAGTTGACACAGTTAAGTTTCCTTTATGACAAACCCAGGAGAAGAAAGGAAAGACTGAAGGACAGCTGAATCTCATCTTACTTTGGGCTGCGATGTGGTTGCAGTATGCAGCCCCTGCCAGGGAGCACAACAACATTTGTATACTTGTTTATTTAAGTAGAGTTTAAAAAGCTTAGTATTTCTAATTTCTGATATGGATTTTGAGGGAACCTTCATAGTGAGAAATACTTTTGGGTGAGAATAATTTTTTTTATTTTTGTGACTTAGAGTAGTTGTTTCTTGTATTTTATTAATTACCACCTGTGTTCACTGTAGTAATACGACATGTAAGAAGAAAGTATACCCTAGACACAGCACAGAACAAATGTTTCAACATTAACTTTGAGGATCAAAATCTGAATTATTACATCATCTACACTCAAGTCTGATTCTGGATCCCTAACAGTTGTCTACCATTATTAATGTTTACAATGACTGACAGACATTGTTAGGAATTCTGGACAAATTTCACAATGTTATGACAGGTCTCACAGTATTTGTGAGAGTTCCACTACACAAAGATTAAGTAAAGCACCAATCCATGGAATATTGAGATTATGTGAAAATCTCATCTATTTAAAAAGAAAACTTTCTAGTTCTAGTATTTGCAGCTTAAAAAAAAAAAAAAAAAAGCTTGAAAAACATCTGCTAAGTGTTCTTTAGAGAATAAAAAGCGAGATGAATAAACATTCCCCTGCCTCATTTCATATTGCTTTAGAATGACATTAATGTAGTCCATCTTCAACTATGGCAAGAGGCAAAGGGTGTGACTCCTTATTTTGCATCATCTGATTCAGAAAGACTGCTGAAATTAGTACAATCATATACACTCATTTTACATCTATTTCTGCATTGTAGCATTCCAGAAACCTTCTGCGTCAATGGATCTTACAATGCAGACATGTTACAGTGTAACACATATTACAGTTTATTTTGTGACATTAGCACAAATAGGGTCTTCCAGCAGCAGCAAATTTGAGAGGAGGCACATCATCAGTAGCACCATGGTCAGGGTATTCACGTAGGACACCTGAGCTTCAGTAGTATGACTAGTCTATACTTCTATGTGGATTTGAACTTCCACTTTGCAAGGAAGTGTCTCAAAAGACTTAGGAAAAACCCTGAAAGTCACAATGAATTCAGTCATTTTTCCTCTATAATTTTTTATCCAAGCTAGAATTCTGTGAATGTCACTGAAACACTAACATCCTAGCTCAACTTCTTTGTTTGTCTACATAAAATTCTTCACGTTTTTGAGAAGCTTTAGAAACTAGATGCTTTCATGCATAGCTTCTGTGCAGTGGTAAGGAGGGTGAATCAATTCAAAAATTTGTATTATATTATCTCTGCACTTTAGCCTTAAAATCTATGGGTGAAAAGGCATCCCTTCTCATTTTCTTTCCTTACACAAGCAGTGCCAGTTGCTGATTTTACATAGCTTCCACGGCCTAGAGATGAGGTCTGAGTCATCAAGAGAGACTGAACGCCAAGCTCTGCAAGTCTGAGGTAAATAAGATGAAAAAGCAGGGAATCTATACCATAAATCTGTTTTAACTGCAGTAATACTAGGATTTTTTTTTGCAATTATATCAGTGAACTCTGAAATGTTATTAGACTATGTCAAACTGAAAGCTTCCATTTTGACCTACCTTATCTGCTTGTATTCTCTCTACCTCTGTCTTGGACCAAAGCCGTAAATACTGGCACAAAGCTAGTAATAGCACATATTTGACAAGAATCTGTTGAAATGAAACACCCTTCCACAAAAGTGATTGTAATTCAGAGAAAACAGGTTTTCCAAATCCAAATGTTCAAGTAACTAAGCAACTAACTGATTAACTGGATTACTTGGAGGAGGAGTTATATCAACCAACAATACCAATCAAGTACGCTCCTGACAAAGGCAGCTAGAGGTTACTGCAGCCAGAAAGAAATAATTTTTTTAAAAAATACTTCATAATTAGAAACAAGAATAAAGAAACATACACAAGCATTCTGTTTTCTCTGAGCTCATAGTCCAAAACATCAAAAACACCCAGCAGGATTATGAGCTCTGTCCTAATCCCCAAGCATGTTCCTGATTGTCAGGAAAATGAAATAAAGCAGAGCATACCAAAGAACTTACTATTGTGTTTAGTTTTAGGCCTCTCATGACATCTACGTAATGTCAATGTTATAAAAGAATCCAATGCTAAGCTTGGGTATCCTGTTCTAGACCCATGAGATGAACCTGAAGGGTTAAATAATGAATCCAAATCACATATGAATGTGGTTTGAAAAATTAAACAACTTCAAAAACTTAGAAACACGTCACAGGAACATTTCAGGAGCTAGCTCGTGTAAGGGATCATTCCTAAGAGGCAGGGTTCTACAGAATGGTCCTGGCTATGCTTAATTTCTTGGCTTACAACTAGTCTGGCTAGTTGTAATGGCCAACAATGTAAGTTTTAATGGCCATTGGCCAACAATGGCTTCATGGCCATTAAAAATCTTAAAGGGGCAAAATAAGAAATAGAACTGAAGTTCACTAAAGATGAAAAAGTACACTGCTTCTGTAAATCTATCCTGGAAGCCTATTGAACAATGCTGCACAAAGGAAGCATGTTAAGAACTTTATTGTTTGATTTTTTTTTTTTTAATTTTTCATGTAACTTTTTATTTCAAGAACATTCAATTTACCTGTCCTCATCAGAAACAGATGTCAAAGTAGATGCAGTACTGTAGAGGTGTCAGGTAATGTATACTATTGAATGTACATAACTTAATGTCAAGTTTTATTTAAAAACACCTACCACCTTCCAATTTTAACTCAAAAACAATAAAGTCTACAGTAACAAAAATAAACTTAACTCTTTGCTCAGACTGGATCCTGAGGAAATTCACCAACGATGTTCCCCATCTCAATTTTCACACTGAATAATTAAATTTAAAAAACATGAATGTTTGTGAACTGTAATCTATCAGCTTTTTAAAAAAAATAACATAGAAGTATGTCCTAAAAATATATATGTAAAAAGTATACGATTACAGGCTTTAGCTCAAAGTGTTTTTCCTCCCACAAACAGTATTTCACAGGTTTTCTTCAACAAACAAAACCAAATTAAGATGGGTTTTTCATACGTATTCTTAAAAGTAAGAGTTCTAATGGAAGGACTTCTAATTGCATTTCTCATCACTTCTGAGCACAGTTAAGGAAACAGTAGGAAGGCTTAGATACTGTTAATAATCTTGATATGAACAATGAGATATGGCAAGATCAAGGACAAAATGATAAGTAAAGGCCATGGTTTTGAAATGGCAGCCCCATATGCACATGACTGCACAGTTACAGTGATCAATCTTGTCTAACTGGCCTTTCCTGGACAACCCGGTGGAGATATTTTACATGCACTTGTGTCAGAAAGGTTCACGCTCTTATTTTACCACGATAAAGGAAAGATATTTTAAAAATTGTCTCCTATATTAGGCATTATTCCTTTCTCTTATATACCTTTTG